AGTGTAAGCTAGCCGCCAACCTCAGGAAATATTCCGATTCACTCAGGAAAATACTCACCTACCACCTAGACGATACTCAGCTCATCTCAGAGCACTGTGTGGGTCATGGGAGCACGCTGCGCTGAGATAACTGGACTCGGCTTTCACATTTTATATCAACTGCTCCTCCCCCCGATTCATAGAAGATAAAGGGGGAAATCAGTGCCACCAGGAGCAAGGGAGGCTAAACTGGTTCCCCTCTGACCCCAACATCCTGCCTCTGCAGGCTTGGCCATCAGGGACCAGCTAAAGGGATGCGTCTAAAGGTCAAGGGGAGATTGGTTACCAGAGCTGGACATGCCTACTCCACCCTTGCCACCACAGCAAGGAGTATCCCGACAGCAGCCACCATCAGAGAATGTGAAAATAAAGACGGCATTGTAGAGACATGATTAAAAGAAATGACTTAAGTGTCCCCACAGACAAGCCAGAGCTACAGGAGAAATATGAGGTGAGTTGCAGGGTACAAAAAGTTCACGCACTTGGGTGCTCTTTTTTTTCTGCATTTGGTGGGTGTCTCATTGCCAAGGTCACACCACTGACCACTGTGGAAAGGAGAACTGCAGGGCATGGTTGGGGGGTTTCAACTCTGTTCCTCCGATAACGAACCACGTGGCATTGAGCCGGTCATACCGGTTCTGTGACTCAGTGCTCTCACCTGTATGGTGCAAATACATACGTACTGCATAAGATTTTTATAGAGATTAAGTAAGATGGTACATGTGAAAGTGCTTAGAATATTAATTGAATAAGAATGTGGCTGAAAGAGGTGTATTCACTGAATGAAAATAATAATAATTACCATGTTTTTAACACCTTCCTACATGTCCAGCTTCCAGGAAGAGCTCTCACATGCATTTTCTAGTTCATCCTTCACCCAATAACTCTGTGAGATAGGAATTCTCATCACTCCCTTCTTAGAGGCGGAAACAGTTACAGAGATTCAGTAACACACTGGGTACCACAGCTAAGAAGTCCTGGAGAGGCAGCTCGAACACGGGCAGTGGGATTAAATCCACATTATTAACCACATGATAATAAAGAGCGGGAGGAGAAGTCAGCCTCAGGATGGTCTTATTCAGTCCCCATACTGACCCCATGAAGTAGCTATTGTCATCGCCCAATTCCACAGATGAGAACACTGAGGGGAGGAAATCGGTGGATTAACTTGCATGAGAGGCATGGAGGAGAGAAAGGAGGTGTACTCAGAAACCACAAATAGCTCGTTGTGCATGTTTCAAAAGTAGCACAGTGGACAAGAAAATCGACCTTACAGCCAGACTTTCTGGGTTCAAATCCCATCTCTGTCACCATCCTGTGCCTCAGTTTCCTCATCTGAAGAGTAGGAATAACGATAACACCAACCACACAGCTTGTTGTGAGGAGTAAGTAAGTTAGTATGTGCTCAGTGCCTGGTCCGCAAAGCGCGACCTGTGCACGAGCAGCTCATTAGAAATACAGAGCTGTGAGGCCACTTCAGACACTGAATTAGAACCTGATCCCAGGGGACTTGTCTGCACACTGACTTTGGGGAAAAGCCTAGAGCAAGGCATGGTAAGGGCTACCTAGCCCATGTCTTTATTGTCATTATAACTAATGACACAGAGCATGGGGGAGGGGCAGGCACACGTGGGAAATCAGTCTCGCCCAGCAAGTTGGGGCAAACTGTGAAGGGCCAGGAAGCTGAGTGCTGTGCTGAAGGCGATAGAGAGACAGAGGCGGCCCTGAGGGCTGGCAGGGGGACACGGTCAGGGCTGCCTCTGAGAATTCTTCCCCAAATAAAGCCAACCAACAAACCAATGACCAAGCACTAAATAAGCAAGTACTGCAAGATTCTCTGGCTATAAACCAAGCTCCTGGGATCCTTCCAGAACCCAGGGCGTCCCTGAGCACTTACCTGGAAGTTGGGAGACAGACCCACCCATGTCTCATGCCCAACTCGCCGAGGGACCGCGGAGCCAATGAAAGTTGCTCCTTTTTATTCTTCCCCACTAGTGGGTCAGGATCTAAAATTAAGCAAATGAGATGATTCATGTTAAAGTGTGTTATAAACAGGGAAACACTCTACAAAAGTGAGGATTCCTCACTGGAAAAGCAATTACCTTGTAAATGGAAAAAGCATCAGGCCTACCATAAGATAAACTGGGCGTCAGACCCACCATAAGATAACCTGGGCTCCGATTCAGAACGTATTTCAAGAAATACCTGTGAGACTCCGACTCAGTAAACCGGGGTGGGGGTGGGGGGTGGTCTGGAGAGGATGGTAATTGCTAGGAAGAGAGTCCAGAGTTCATTTTTTAAGAAAACATCTCCAGATTATTCTAGTTGGATCTAATGATTGCAAGCAATATTTCTCAAACTTGAATTTGCACCAGCATCTCCTGGCGCATGTTTCAAACACAGATGACTGGGCTGACCGGGCCCTGCTCTCCAAGTTGATGAGTCAATAGATCTGAGTTGGATCACTTTGCCAGGGTCGCCTGGCAAAGCACCACAAACTGAGGACTTAACAGAAATTAATTGTTTTGATTCTGGAGGCCGGAAGTCCGAGATGAAGGTGTCGGCAGGGCTGGTCCTTCTGAGGCCGTGAGGGAGAATCTGCTCCGGGCCTGTCTCCTGGCTGCTGCTTGTTTGCTGGCAATTTTGGGAACCCCTGGTGTGTAGATGCAGCACCCTCGCTTCTGTCTTCATCTTCACCTGGTCTCCCTGTCTGTGACAGGATCCAGATAGCCCCTTTTTCCTAGTATGCCAGTCATAGTGGATCAGGCCACCCCCACTCCAGTGTAACTGCATCTGAACTGATGACACCTGCAATTCCCTTATTTCCACATCAGGCCACAGTCTGAGGTCCTGGGCCTTAGGACCCCAACATATGAAATTTGGAAGGACATGATTCCACCTGTAACACCTTCCTCACCCTGCACATAACTCACAGCCCCCAAATCCAGGTGGAGCCACATCATTTTGGTCATGAGTGAGCCATCGCCCATAACTTTCTTTCTTCCCGCCCTGTTCAGCACCTCCAAATACACATTTCCCTGCCGGTGTGTCTCCCCTCCTGGACTCCGGCAAGTTCTCCAGAAGGAAAGCCGTGGGCCCGCATGGCAGGCTTTCTCAGAGTGGCAGCCATCCATCCCATTTCTGGGAAGGCAACACTCAGCAGCTCAGTGGCACTTTGTCCCTGCAAAGCCCTGCTCCCTCCCAGGACCCCAGGGAGTCCCACAGAGCAATTCCCGCCCCCCCCCATCCTGGAGCCGAGACCTGCAGTTACCTGGTTCATGTTTCTGACTTGATTGGCACCAGCAGTAATCCAGCTACAGCCTCTCTAGTGCAACGCGCACTGTTCATTAGATCCCATTGTGTTGAGCCCTGCCTCCAACCACACGATTTTTTCTGCTTACAGAAAGAAAAGAACGAAAGGAAGATGGAAAAGGGAAGAAAGAAACAGGAAAGAAGAAAGGAGAGGCAGTCATAAATACAACACTGTGTTGCCATGTGAGCTGTTGCAGTTTTGTGGCGAGGGTGAAGTCATTCTAGAAGAAATGCAATGTTGTGCCAGCTCTGGCCCCATCAAGAATGGTGCGATGTAAAGTGAGAAATCTTCATTTCGGTGGCACAGGCGCACAGAACCGGAGCTGGAAATCAAAACTAGCCAAGTCCCAGTGTTTGTGTCAGGAAGGCAACTGCTCACTTGTTTACCAGGCTGTCAGCGCACTCGGAACCCTCTCGGAATTCAGGAATTCACGGTGCCCTCCGTCTACTTACACTCCGCCCCCACGCCCTGCATTCAGAAATCTTTTGTGAGCTCCTGGAAGTTTTTCCTCAGGCGAATTAATAAAGAGCGCGTGGATTTGCAAAATCCTTGGGCTTTTAACTCAGGTTTCGACTTTGAATACTCATGACAATGTTTTGTTTGTTTTTAAGCTGGAGACACTTCACTTTCCTTCACTGTAATTCCACCTTTTCTTTCTCTCTTTCCTTTCTCACGTACCTCACCACAGGTCCTGGGGACACACTAATATCAGACTGTGTATCTGTGCACACAGGGATATTATTGATAATAACAAAGAAAATGCAAGAAATTAAAAGTAGGGGTTTTTTTTTGGTTTTGTTCTAGAAGATTTTTTACATGCCAGCATGTATTTGTAAAACTCTCCTGGTTTTCTTATTTCTGGCTGAGGAGACGGGAAACGGTCAGGCTTCAAAAGCTGAGTGTGGGCACCCCGACTCACCTGCTGTCGGGGCCACGTCACTGAGCGCGGGGGAAAAGCTCCACTGGATGAACCAGCATCCCCTCCATCCTCCTCTTCCTCCAAACTGGCCCTTCTCGGCGCTTCTGAACAATGTGTGGCTCGCATGCAGCCTGTCCTCATTTCCTGCCTCGGTGTCAGCTGACGCCGTTTCTCCCCAGTGTCTCTCATCACGCTTTACCCACCTTCCTCTGGCTCGTTCCAGGCGCCACAGGCGTCACCACTCGCTAACGCCACACACGGGCGTGCTGCTCAGGCTACGATAGCACCCCGATCCTGCAGGCTATGAGGCATTTGTGCTTGTTGCTCCTGCCCAGTCCAGTGTATTGAAACGTGTACGTCTCACTCCTCAGTCATCTGAACAGCAATGACACCCCCGTCCCCGTCCCACCTCCCTTCCAGCTGTGCTGTCCTGAATTTACTCCCTTCCGGCAACTACTATTTACTCCCTCTGAAGCTA